AACGAAGAAATTGAAAAAGAAGAAAAAGGAAAGCGTACGATTGGAGCAACATTTTCTTATTTTATCAATGTCGCGTACGTTGCGCGTTAGATTCGATAAAATTTAGAGATTGAACGGGTGTTTTTTCTTCTCTTTCCAGGAGTTGCAAGCATCCGATCGCGTGTTACGCTTTGTCGACAGATACCAGCGATGGAAAAAATCTCGACAAACGGAAGATAGAACTGTGGATACGTACGCGAATGTCGCGCGAAGATAATCAATGTCGAAAGAGAATTTTCGTATCCTAGACGAATTCCCCGCAACGAAGATACGTCGTGTCATCGATGGTTGGTGAAAAACGAATCGGTTCGAGTACTGTCGATATCGGTGAATAGAACGTTCGATTTGCACCGTTCGCGTGGAGGATATCGTGACATAAGGCCGCCGTATTCCCGTCTATGTCCGCGCTAGAGAGTACCGTGTTGCGTAACCATGGTATCGCGAGTTTCATTTTTTTTTTTTTTCAGCCGAACGGACAAACGTAAACTCTGTATTTGCGATGATATCGACCAGGTTTTTCACAAATATACAAAGTTAGAGCGATCTTATTCGTTAATTGCGTTTACTGTCAACAAGATTATCCAATCCCTGCCTTCCCTATTTTTTTTTTTTTTTTTTTTTTTTTTTTTTTTTTTTTCTTATTTTAATTAGCTCCAATGCATATATATAAGTATCAACGGGCATCGAATGTCGTTGATAGCCGATGCGACGACGAACGAAATGCGTCTCCTCTCCTCGTTGAAGGTATGTCGCTTGCCGTGAAACTTGTTCAAACTATTCGTAGAATCACGTTGAAACATTGACGGTTGACCGAACGAACACGATGTTTGACGAGATTCTTGTGTCGTTTCTGTTTCAGACTGTTTCCTACCTGCAGATTTCTCGTATGCGTCCGCTGTCGGAAGAAGACGTCGAAGTTATCAGAAAGCCGGAGTTTCCGTGAACCCTACATGTGCCGAGAAGCAAAAGTTTCCTTGTCCGACTTGTCCAAGCGTCTTCAGTCACAAGAACAATCTCTACTATCACTCTAAATTCGAATGCGGTCAATTACCTCGATTCAACTGCCCTTATTGTACTTACAGGACCAAACACGTATCCAATGTGCGCGCCCACGTGCGTAGAAAGCACCCTGGCAACAACGTCTACGCCATCGACGTGTGCAAAATCTTGGAAGGATAAACGTATAATCCGTGACGCGAGTTCGGTATTTTGTTTACCGCTCCAGCATGGCGAATACGACTACGACGACGACCACTACTATCGTTACTACTACTATTACCGCTGCTGCTGCTACTACTACTACTACTACTGCTGCTGCTGCTGCTACTACTACTACTACTGCTACTATTGCCACCGCTACCACCACCACCACCACCACTACTACTACTATTACTACTAATACTACTACTATTACTACTACCACCACCATTACCACACTATTCTACCAACAATCACCGCTATACATCCCAACTGTAGCTACGTAACGTCCACGGCCAAGATGGTCATGACTATGCGTATAACGATAAGTTATCGATGCTTTTAGGAAATAGACGCATTCGAATCTCGTTCGATTTTTTGCGCGTCGTTGAATTTATCCGATCGTTGGACGTATCGCGACGTTTATCGACGCAGGTTGGTAATTTTGGAAAATTTGCGAATCAAGCGTCACGTCAATACTCTTTTTATTGTCCACGAATCGAGAATGATTCTAGTCCGATGAAAGTTTACGCGCGTGGTGCGATCAGCTGTTTGAAAGAAGGAACGTCTTTGTTCGCTGTCTACTTCCATGCGAGATACGCGTACACGCAGGCAAATTATTTATATATATATATACATACAACCATGCATGCATACATACCTGCATATCTGCATACATGCGTACTACGTACGTATACTGCGAGTGAAATTGAATAGTCAGTTTCTAAACAAGTCGGTGCAATTAAATTTACTTTAATTGGTCGCGATCGTGTTTGTTCTCGGAAACATCGAGAGTCGCGTTCCCTTTTCTCGTTTGGTCGTTTTGCGCGCTATTTGTACTTTTGTACGAAAAGTTCGGTGGAGACGATGGTAAAAGTGAAATAATTTCTTCTCGTTATCCATCCATTTAGATTTAACGTTGCGAAAGAAAATTTAATTTGTATACGAAGACTCGTAATAAATGCGAAAAATATTTGTACGAAAATGAAAATATGGAAAAGCAGTGAATTTGTTGGTTATACGTTTAAATATGTAGTGGAAATTTGCAAGAAATCGCGCGTCGCTCGGTTCCCGCGTATCGTGGCCTGTGGTGGTACACGACAGGTACCGGTCCCCGCGCGTCGTACACACGCTTGCTTCGGCGAAACGAGCAGATCGTTGTGGACCGGCACGAGCGTGTGCTATCGCGATTGCGCGCGCGATTTAAACGCGTTTTCGTGTTTCTAATCGAAAGGTTAAACGCGGTGCCGAGCGAAAGGTGAAAAGCGAAATTAATCGTAAGAACGTCTGCATTTTCCAGAGGAGCTGGAAGGAAATCCAATCGAGTATTACGGATGGAATCGTCGTAACGCGGCTCATCCTCGAGTTCGTCACAAAGCGCTGCACATCTGCCCAAGGTGTGGCAGACCTTTCAACTGGCGGTACAATCTGCAGAATCATTTGAAGTACGCTTGTGGACAATTGCCGCGATTCAACTGTCCGTATTGCGCTTACAGGACCAAACACACGTCTAACGTTAGAGCTCACGTGCGTCGAAAGCATCCAAACGAAGAAGTGTACGTCGTCGATCTAATGAGTGGTCAACGTTGAATCGCCATCGAATCGCCACCGAATCGCCACAGAATCGCCACAGAATCGCCACAGAATCGCCATGCGTATTCGAGCGAAATTGCGAATGGATGGTGGTGGAACGTGCTCGTTGAATAAAATCTAGTTTTCTCAGTCGAGAACAGCACACACTGGTCCTTTGAAAACTCCTTGCGTGCATGTCCCTTCGCGTATCGTATAAGTACGTTGGTATGTCGATGTATAACAAGAACTAACAAGGATCGACGCGAATGTGTACGCGTTTTCAGTTTTCACCGCTGGATATATCGTTCGCCGAGAGGTGAGACGATCGTGCACGTTTTCTTTTTAAGCGTGCAGTGATTTCGTACCAGAGAGAGAGTATATGTCGTTATACGCGAATGCGTAAAAAGATGGCGAATGTTTCGCACGATCGCGTAGATTCGATTTCGTTAACCGAGAATGAAAGATCGACATTTGTGCTTTTTTTTCAGAGGCAAACCGCTTAATACCGCATCAGAGGCAGAAGAACATTCGCTGGTCGTACTCACCGATGAGAGGAGGCACGTTATCGCGAACGGACGATCAGTACGGGCAAAAATTTCCGTGCGGAAATTGTTACAGCGTATTCAACAGAAAGTACAATCTCCAGTATCATTTGAAGTTCGACTGTGGGCAATCGCCGCGATTTAATTGCCCGTACTGCGCATACAGGACGAAACATCCTTCGAACGTGCGAGCTCACGTACGCAGGATTCACCCTGACAACGAGGTCTACGTCGTAGATCTCACGAAATCCAATGATCGATTGCCATAATTTTCCTAGCGGCTCTTTCCTCTCTCATTTTCCAACCGTATTTGTCGCTTTTTCACCGCGATGCGTCAACGCGTCGTTCCAATTAACGCTTATCCCGAAGATTATCTCGACGGTGCTTTGCAGCCGGCCATGCAACCGGCCATGCAACCGTCCATGCAACCGGCCATGCAACCGGGTTGCGACTTTGTCGTCGCAATTGATTTATACTCGAGATAACATCTACGACATTAACTTTTACCTCTTTCACGACGATGCTTTTGTTCACTCTGATTACGCGCTTCAGAAAAGTCGATATTCGTTTAAGCTTTCTCTCTCTCTCTCTCTCTCTCTCTCTCTCTCTCTCTCTATCTATCTATCTATCTATCTCTGTCTTTCTCCTCTCTTTCCTCTCTTTCCTCTCTTTTCCTTCGCTCCTTCTGTTCTCTTTTTCCTGACATTTGTCAAACTTTCCTTCCTCTCACACTCGTTTCGCTTTATCGACATTAACCTCTGTACATAATGGTTCTTTTTCTCTTTTTTTTTCTTTTTTTCTTTTTTTTTTTTTTTTTTTTTTTTTTTTTTTTTTCTTTACGAGTGTCAGGAGCGTATATACGAATCGTAATCGGGTGAGAAATTACGAAAGAAAAGAAGGAAGAAAGAATGTTCGTATGATACTAGTTGATCGGAGAGCGTAAAATTTGTTCTTAATCAGAGGTGAAAAGTCGACATAGTCGAAAGTCATTTGGTTGACCTTTTCTGTTCGCAGGTGTTCATTATCCGGTATCGTATTGTACGTGTTACCTCGATGGGCATCGTTGCATCCACGATCACGATCGAAAAGAGCCAAGCAAAAATTACTCTTGCCACAAGTGCGGTAATGTTTTCACGCGAAAGAATAACTTGTATAATCACCTGAAGTTTCAGTGCGGCCAGTTGCCGAGATTCAATTGCCCTTATTGCTCGTATCGTACCAGGCATTCGTCCAACGTCAGGTCTCACATACGTAGAATGCATCCCGATCAGATGGTATACGTTTTGGACGTTCGCTGTAACCAACAGAATCGCGAATTACGATAACGTATTAACGATGGACGAGAAGATGACATCTGGGATTCAAGATATCGTTCCAACGAACAACGATTGTCCACCGCCCCCCCCCGCCCTCTCTCTCTCTCTCTCTCTCTCTCTCTCTCTCTCTCTCTCTCTCTCTCTCTCTCTCTCTCTCTCTCTCTCTCTCTCTCTCTCTCTCTCTCTCTCTCTCTCTCTCTCTCTCTCTCTCTCTCTCTCTCTCTCTCTCTCTCTCTCTCTCTCTCTCTCTCTTGTACTTTTATGCGAAGGACAAAGTAAGGCTGCGCCGTACCATGTCGCGCGTAAGAAAATTTTGTATGCCTCGATGTAGCATTTGAAAACGACGAAACGCTTTGTAGCTTATACTCGCGTCGTTTACCGAGCGGTGGCAAAATTTTTGTACGTTGTTCGAAGAATCGTCAAGTACCTTCGAATGATAAGAAAACTGCGTGCGACAATTTCCCGTAGCTTGCGAGATCCATTATATTCTTCTTCGATGATTTCTACGTCGGTCGATGACACGCAACACACGTACAACACGCACACGTACACGCACACGCACGTACACACGTGCGCACGCGAATATACCGGTCGATGGAAGTTGGTCGATCGCTTTTTCATCTCTGCGACCGTTGCGTAATTTTATCGTTCGATTTTCGCCAAGAGTGCGAATCGGCGAGACCGATGCGGACTCGTCGTAGATCGTTCCAACGAAAGAAACGCGCATGCAGACTCGCAATCAGACAGACCCGTTTCGTTACAGATACTACGGCTCCGTTCACCGTGTTCGGGATCAACGTTGGTATCGAAGATGGCCAAAGCCAAATCGGAAATATCGAGAAACTGTGGACCCGATCGTCGAACCAAATCGATTTAGACAATAACTTTAAGACGAAGAAGTTTCCATGTCCGAACTGTGCCTGTGCCTACAGCCAGAAATATTCGCTGAACCGGCATCTCACCTACGAATGTGGCCAAGAACCCCGGTTCAAGTGCCCTCACTGCGATTATCGATGCAAGAAATCGGCCAACATCTACGAACACGTGAGAAGAAGACACAAGGACTGTCGAGTGTACGCGATCGACGTTCTCAAGGTCGATAACACGGAAGACGCGTAACGCGTTTCGTTTCGCCGATATTACCGGACGCGTACTCCCTCTCTCTCTCCCCCAGCCCCACCCCCCCCCTCTCTCTCTCTCTCTCTCTCTCTCTCTTTCTCTAGCCCATTGCTTGTCACCGCGAACCGCATAGCTTAGAGATAAGAGGTTCGTCGTCGTTCGTGCGTTTCCCTTTTACAGGTTTTCTACCACGACGATTACTTTCGCCAACCAATCATCAATTATACACGCATTTCAGATCATATGAATAAAGAGATTCATTTATCCAACAATCGGCTCGTCGAGTGTCGTCGTTTATTTCATTTCCTCACCTTTTCGCGCGTGTCGCATTCGTCTCAACGCATCTTTGCTCTGCACTCTGTCGTGTCTCTCTCTCTCTCTCCTTTTCTCGGCTCTCTCTCTCTCTCTCCCCCTCTCTTTCTCGGCTCTCTCCCTCTCTCTCTGTTCTACTCAGCTCCGCTCCGCCTCGCCACCGTTCCCTCGTTTCGATTTGCTCACTGTTCTCTACTCCGCTTTGCTCTATTCGCTTTGCTCTGCACCGCGTGTATTCTCGTTCCCTTGTTCCTCTATCTTCGCGTGGAAGCTCGTCTTCGACGATAGTTCTTTCTTAGTGTTCAGTGGTGAATCTTCTTTTCCAGGCGTCGTCTCGCGTTTGGTTTGCGCAACATGGAGACAGCGCAAATCGACCGCCCATCGAGCCTCCGCTGCTAATAAAAGGTTCTTCTGCTCTAACGCTTGTGGCAGCTCGTTTACCCATCGCGGCTCTCTAACCAGACATCTGCGTTACGAGTGCCGACAAAATCCACGTTTCAAATGTCCGTCTTGCGACTTTCGTTCTAGATGGACGTCGGACGTTTATAGGCACGTACGTAGAAGACACGAAGGTAGCGTGGTACGTTGCATCGACATCGGTAGAAATTAAAATTACGCAAGATGGAAATAATCGCTACTTGTACTTGTACTCGAAGAGCAAATGTCTCGCAATAAAGGTTTGCCCATCTATTTTTGCCGCGTTGTATCTTTGCGGCTGTATACATCGTCGTTTCGTATCGTGCAAGCGCGATACAAGATCGTCGTGCCCGTATGGTATAGTAGAGTGGTAGCCGTGACGACGAGCGTGTCGGCTGTTGCTGCTGCTACCACTGCTGCTACCGCTGTTGCTGTGTTGCTGCTGCTGTTGGCACGAGCATCGTCGCGGATGGACGTGTTCGGACGAGAGACGGATGCGTGCAAGTCGTCCAGGAGAGTCTTTTCGCGATACCTTTTGGTCCTGTCCACGATTATCGCGATCTTGGTAACGATGTGTGCGTGCGTGATGCGTGTATGCCTGTCTCTCTGTGTGCGCGTGCAAATGAGGATGGTTCGCTGTCCGTTCGTGGCCATGAACCGAAACGGATACGAGAGCATTTCTTTTATCACGGTATTCTATATAACGAGAAAGGAAATTTTTCGCGATTCTTCGTATGTTTTTTCTATTTCGTTTACACGGAAGAATCGAAGGCGCGAGAATGACCGGGGCGGAGGGGGGGGGGGGGGGGGACAATATAATACCGCGATTATTTCTCGTTCTGCTTTCAGATCATCGATATCACGCGATTGCTTGCTACAAGAAACAACGAGTACACTCGAGCGACGCGACCTACAAGAATTATCCCTGTCCGAATTGCCCGAGCGTATTCGCCTGGAAATACACGTTGAAGAGGCATTTGCGTAACGAGTGCGGAAAAGAACCGCGCTTCAAGTGTCCCTACTGCGATTACCGTGGCAAATGGAAGGCCAACATATGCAGGCACATCAAGAGAGTACACAAGGATCGCGGTGTCTACGTTCTAACCGCTTAGGTCTTTGTGCAACGCTCTCTCTTTCTCTCTCTCTCTCTCTCTCTCTCTCTCTCTCTCTCTCTTTCTCTCTCTCCCTGTCTCTTTCTCTGGGATATCTGCGATTCTTCTTACGATTTTCTTCCGACCGTATCGATTATTGCCAATAAACGAAATATACACGTGTATCATGACTGTACAAAGTAGTCGCGTTTTTCTTGCGTACCTCAGATTCGATCGAAGCCGATACTCTGATAAATTGTCGAACGTGCCAGCGAGACCGTGATACGAAGAAGGATCCAACGCCATGAGAAAATTTCGTCTGTTCGTTTGTTTCAGGTGCCGAGCAAGCGTGGTGGGTGTACGGAGATGCCGGGAGAGCGACGAAATGCAGAGCGACGAAAGTGCAAAGTACCGTGTACATTTGTCCGAGTCCGAATTGCGGCAAGTCGTTCAATTGGAAGGGAAATTTGAATAGACATCTGAGATACGAGTGTGGTCTTCAGCCACGTTTCAAGTGTCCGTATTGCCAGTATCGTTGTAAAGTTAAGGGGGACGTGAGCAAGCATATATCAAGAAAACATCACGGTTTGATCGTTTACGTGGTCGACTTGTTCGCTGTTTCTCACTCGAGTGACACGAGTTCCACGCGTTGATCACCGATGCAAGCCCAAAACTTATATTTTCGTTCGAATAAAATATAATATAGTCTGCCTTTTTTCAATCTATCATTGCGCGCCATTTTTTAACGCGTTTGCGTTCCATCGTAGCATATATATTTTTACAGTCCTCGCTCCACTATCTTCTCCTCTTCCGTTATTTCCTCCCTTCGCGGTATATTTCATTTTCCGTGACAACTCTGTGTTCCTTAGGTTACAGGCGTGGACGACGGCAATGACGGGGGGGGTCTTTCTTTTTTCTTTCTTTTTCTTCTTCTTCGTTTAAGCACGATTATTACGTAGCCGGTGGGACGATAGTCGAAAGAACGATTTGATCGCGAACGATTCGTTGTTTTTCAGGGCAGGAGAAAGAAGGGTCGTCCGTGTCGTGGATGGGTCATCGGCGCTCCAATTGGTTCGTGAAACCTAGCCAGTATGCCTGTCCAAATCCCAACTGTCGAAGCGTGTTCGCTTGGAAGAGGAACTTGACCAGTCATTTGCGATATCAGTGCGGTCAGAAACCGAGATTCAAGTGTCCTTATTGCGACTACGTGTGCAAGGTGAAGGCCGACATACGGAAACACATCAGGATCAAGCACAAGAACAACGACGTTTACGTGATCGATATCTTCGAATCGTGGCAAGTGGTTCGATGAAGGGGAAAAAATAAAAAAAAGAAGAACCGTGGAGGCAGGAAGCGAGAGCGGTTGTCGGGGTTCGTTGGTCGCGCGATCGACCAAAGTATACGAGACTCGATCCTCGCGATCGCGAAACGTCGATCGCGAAACGTCGATCGCGAAACGTCAACTAACCGAAAGAGGATCGCGCGAGGTTTCCCTCCTTGCCGATGCTTCGCATGCAATCTCGCGCCTTTTTCTCTCCTAGTCCTTCGTATCTGGCTTTAGGTTTGTGTCGCATCTACGTTCATCGGTTACGCGTAACTGCGTAACTGCGTACATAATTATCCACTAACAACGGCGATAAGATCATTGTTTTGCCACGCGTTTCTTCGTCTCGCGTTTTCCCTCAACCACACACGCGACACACGCACACACACACACATGCGCGCACGCACACAGAGGCATACACACACGCACGCAACATCCTTTCTCTATCGTTTTCGTATTTTCGTATCGATGATTCGACGATCGATATATCGCAACGGGAATAATTAGAACCAATGGAGATTCGTCCATCTTAACGCTCGGCTTTTTCTCCTTCTAGGTTCTGGCGCACGCGTCGTCTACGAGACGAAAATCGAAAGCTCGGATCCGTTTACCAAGATAAAGAGATTTCCATGTCCGAATTGCACGAGTGCGTTCGGCCAGAAACCGAGTTTGACCAGACATTTGAGATACGAGTGCAGACAAGAGCCACGATTTCAATGTCCCTACTGTCATCAAAGAAGTAAAAAGACGTCGGACATTTACGCGCACATCAGAAGAAAGCACGCAAATTCGAAAGTTTTCGTCATCGATATCCACGGATCGATCGCGCGCAACTCGAACGATTCCTTTAAAATGGACCGGTTCTGAATCCACGCATCTTTCTTTCTTTCTTTCTTTCTTTTTCTCTCTCTTTCTTTCTTCCTTTCCTTCTTTCTTTCTTTCTTCCTTTCTTTCTCCATCTTTTTATTACTATCTCCACGCGTTCACCGAAATGCCTCTCGGAACTCCTCCACGCGATACGAATCTCGTGATTTTTCTCCAACGCCATTCCGTTATTCCGTTCCGCCGTTG